GTTCCTATTTCTCCCAGGCCAAATATGCATCCGATCTTCTGGATCGTGCTGGTCTTACTGATTGCAAAACTACCTCTACTCCAGTTGATCCTCAGATTCGTCTCACTCCTCTTGATGGGACTCTTCTCTCTGATGCTACTCTTTATCGCCAGCTCATCGACAGTCTTGTCTATCTCATAGTAACTCGTCCTGACATTGCCTATGCTGTTCACATTGTCAGTCAGTACATGTCGGCTCCCCGCACTCCCCACTATACTGCTCTACTCCGCATCCTTCGCTACCTCAAAGGCACTCTGTTCCATGGCCTTCACTTCTCTGCTTCCTCCTCTCTTGAACTGCGTGCCTTTTCCGATGCTGATTGGGCTGGAGATCCTACGGATCGACGCTCCACAACGCCCATAACTGAAAGTAACCAAGGAAGCCAAATGAGCTCTTGAGTGGTATCTGTAAGAGCACAATATTCGGATTCGGTGCTGCAGCGAGAGGCCAAGGTTTGTTTCTTGCTACGCCAACATATAAGGGAATCACCTAAGAAGAAACAGAATCCTGTGGTAGAGCGACGATCAGGAACTTCTCTGGCTTCGCTGGCTCCTTGCTGATATGGGTGTTTCTTCTTCTGATCCTACCCCTCTCTATTGTGACAATCAGAGTGCCATTCAGATTGCTCACAATGATGTTTTTCATGATCGCACCAAACATATTGAGATTGATTGTCATTTCATTCGCCAGCATGTTACTAGTGGTACTGCTCATCTTCTCCCTATTGCTTCCGTCGATCAACCCGCTGATATCTTCACTAAGGCTCATCCTCCTGGCCGCTTCAATGATCTTGTTTCCAAACTCAACTTGGTTGATGCTTTCCCTCCTTGAGTTTGCGGGGGATGTTAGTATAATATTATGTATATTATTATGTTAAGCTTTAGCTTTAATAATTAGTGTAGCTTTAGCTTTCATAATTAGTCTTTAGCTTTCATAATTAGTGTAGCTTTAGCTTTCATAATTACCTTACTTTAGCTTTATGCTTTCGGTGGCTCTCTCTCCAATGTATCACAATGTATCACAGGCTATAAGAAGAGAGCTAGGCTCCCTTTGTAAATCAATCTATGGAATACACATTTCATTTATTCACTTGTTCTCTCTCTCTATCAATTTTATCTTTCATGGAGACTGAAATTTATCTGATGTAATGTCTTACATGGCATTTCACTTGTTCTCTCTCTCTATCAATTTTATCTTTCATGGAGACTGAAATTTATCTGATGTAATGTCTTACATGGCATTTAGTCGCATAATGTGGCAAAAATATTAAAATATAAGAATCTTAAGGCACAGTTGTGAAATTAAAACTGTGTTGAATTCTTTGGATAAAACATCCCATCCTATTTAGTTGATAGTTTTTTTTTTTTCAATAAACATTTTTTGTTAAAAAAATGTTAAACACATGATGATCGTCTCCAAGTTTTCATTCAAATATGAAAACTAACATAAACAAATTGAAGTAGGTTCCTAGAACTGTTAAGATTGCCAAGTATTACTTTGCATTTAATATGGACCACCTCATCTTTGTGGCTGAGTGCTTAACATAGATGATTGTACATAAATATTTTACAAAATTATTATACAGAAAAATCACTTATTATAATTTTTTTTATTCAAAAACAAAACGACCTACCATTATAAATATAACTTATAACAAGCATGACACTACCACATTATTCTAAAAAATATATTTTATATAAAAATTCTGATGATATAATATATATATATATATATATATTTAATATATTGGAGAGTGAAACTTGAAGAAAAAGGGGTCTCCGTAAAATTAATTGTTCCATTTTACCACTGGCCCAAGACACTATTTTTCTAACTAAGTTGCTTTTGATAGTAGAGTTAGAGAGAGCATTTACAAGTTTGTGTAATAAATAATGTATATTTTTTAAAGCTTTTTTCATCTGTGTTTAAGGGGTCGTTTAGGAATAGGTTAAAATAATTGGAAAATCATAAAATTATTTAAAAAATTTATAAAAAGATGTTACAAAAATAGAGAGAATGAGAATGAATTTTTAATTTTTTTTATATGACCTTTTTAACAATATATTTATTTATTTATTTTGAGTGTGGCACTAGAGATAGGTTAGGCGTTTGGTATATATAGCCCATTTACATAATGGGCCGCGCAGTTGGGTAGTACACTGCAAGGCTAGTGTACTCTTTTTTCGCTAGCTGTTTTATTGTTTGTTTGTTTGGTTTTCTTTTTCTATAAAAAAAAATACACGTGTCAAGCTCAACATATCATATCACTAGTGTTTTTTTTTTTTTTTTTTTTTTTTGGTATTTAGATAAATCAATAAATAGATAAATTATAAAGAAAATGAGAATTAGATTAAACTAGGCATTTCATTATAAAAGAAACTCCAATAAATAGTCACAGGTTTCCGACAAAACCAAAAAATAAAAAAATCACAAATACACTGACAAGAAATATTACCAAAAAATCATGCAATCAACTTCTCTATAGTTATTTTTTTGGAATGTTTTGGGAAGTTGATTAAAAATTATTTTTTATCTTTTTTTTTTATTTTTTTGTGAGAGAGGAAAATAGGTTAAAAATTGGGAAGTGACTTTTAACTCACTTTCCAAAATAGACTTTTTGGGTGTCAAAAACTTCTTCTTATTCTCTCTATTTTTTATTTTTTTTAAAAAAAACTACAAAGTCATTTTCAAACATTTTAGTTTTTTCTACCTCTAATATTAGAGAAAAAACAATTTAAAAAAAAAATAGACAAATTACCAATAAGTCTTCTTTGAAAGACGCGTAGCCTATTTAGTTTCATAACTTTTTCTTTTTACTCAAAAGTCTCGTAACGTCTTTCTTCTTCTTCTCTGCCTTTTTTCTTCTCTATCTCTTTTGCTCTTTGTAATTTTCGACGATCGTTGACGGGCAATTACGTATTGTTTCTTCCCTTTCTCTTTATGATATATAGTCACTAGCGACCAACGACTACCATCGATTGGGATTCATTGACAACTACCGACGATCGACTCCTTACTTTACCCTTACCGATGATAAAAAAGATATGTTTCCAATAAAGATGATGAATAGATCTACTTATATCAGTTCCAACTAGATCTAAATAAAAAATAGTTATCGGAGTACAATCCTCTCTCAATATCTGCCTCTCTTCCTCGGTCTCTTAATTTTTTTATATTTTCTCTGCTATACACTTATTTTTTCTACTTTAATGGAGAAAATTTTCAATTTTTGAACAAGTTGTTTTCGAGTTTTAGTTACTGGCAATGAAAACAGTAAAATTTTGCAATTTTAATTTTTTTGTGGTGTTGGAATGAATCATAATTTAAAATTGCAAAATTTCTCAGTTTATAACATTCTTTAAAACTGTAAAATTTTACAGTTTCATAACATGTTTTTTAATTTGATTAATAAGGATAAATGCTTAATAGATTTTTGTTTTGAAATTATAATATTTTATAGTTTCAAAGCTTGGTTTTCAGTTTGATCAATATTGGAGATTATTTGCTTAAACTTTACAAAAATTTAAAAATAACATATGTTTTTTTTCCATTGTTGTTGTTTTTTGTCGTTACATTTTTTTTTCTTTTAGTTTATCAATATTTAGCATATTTTGCTATATTTGTTTGCTCTAATTTCTCCATTTTTTTTCCCAGTAAGATTCTAGACATTCCGGTGAGTCTCCAATAATGTTCTTAACATCCAGCGAACGTTCTGGACATTTCGGTGACTTTCATTGATATTCATAACATTTTGGTGAACTTTGAGCGATTTCCCGGCGATACTTCGGCGATTTCTGGTGATGTTGAACATTTCGGCGAGTCTCACTGTCTAACGGAAATCCGATGGTATTAGGATGTTACAGCGCTTGTAAATTAAAAAAATAAAAATGAAGAATTTTTTTGGTAACAATTAGAAATATATAAGACTAATTAGTACAAGTATTTTGTTTTGAGATTAAATGAATTTTGAATTTTATATATCGGACTTATTGGTAAGTTTCCAAAAAAAAAATCACCTTCCAAATGTTGATGACTTTAGCAAGACTAGGGTGCTGTTTGGTATAGCTGTTAAAACAGATTATAGATTGTACCTTAACAGATTATAGATTATGACCTTAATCAGAAGCTGTTAATCTGTTTGGTATAGCTGTTGGATTATAGATTTAAGTTGTTGAGTAGTGTTTGTTAAATAAGTTGTGAAGTAACTTTTTCAATTAATTTTTATTTTTTATTATTCACTATTTGTCTACATTTTTCATAAAAAATACTCTCTCCGTCCCAAAATAATGGTCCCTTTTGGGGAATCCAACTTTTTTTGGTAGTACAATTATTGCATTTGAAAAAAGTTGATTTTCCAAAATTATCCTTTTGATAGTACATTTTTTGAGAATATCAATGCATAATTGTACTTTTTATGTTGTTTATTAATTTAAAAGAAGGGTAAAATAGGAAATTTATATTATTTTTGTACTTGATTTTTGAAGAGGGACTAATATTTTGGGACAATGAAAAATGAAATAAGGGACTAATATTTTGGGACGGAGGGAGTAGTAATAATATTTTATAGTCCATTTGGGTCTTTTTCTATTTTTAAAAAAATAAAAAATAAAAAAATCTAAGAGTATAACCGTGAATTAACATGTCCACAGCAGAAGCTGATAATCAGAAGCAAGGAGTGAGCAGTTTCTCAGAATCAGCTTTTTTGACTTAAAATAAATTGTTAGAATCAGAAATTGTTTGAAATAAGTTTAACGAAACAATCCAAAATAACTTTTTAAAAATCAAAAGTCATAAACTCGCTCAAAAAAGCCCCACCAAACACCCCTAGGTCAGATTGGGGTTGCATTTGGATTGGGCCTAATTAGCCTCTTCAAACCTCGGATCCAAACATGGGCTTTTACTAGTGAAAATTGCGGGAAGCCTTTCCCGCCAATTTTCTCTCTCATCAGGGAAAAAGTAGAGTGAAAACATGGTAGACTCATTCGGTGTTGATCGCTTCGTCTTCGGATTCAGATTCAGATTCACATTCACATTCACATTCAGATCGATCAAGCGGCGAAAATGGAGATCGTTCGTTCCCAGAAGAGAACTCTCGCTGCTCCCATTGTCGTCCTGACTCTCCCTCTCTACCGCTCTGCTCCTTCGCTCGAAGTCAGACTCGAAGATTTCGAACTTTTCGCCATCGATCGCCTCCGAGGTCATTCTTTCTTGCAAGTTTTCCATTTCGTTTCCTATGTGCTTTCTAGCTAACGAAACGAAGATTTGTTTTATAAGTTTCACTGGTATACGAAAATTTGTGGAATTTAGTTCTCTTTACATGTATTTAGGGTTTTAGAATTTCCTGGTTGGTTTGATGGAGTTTTGGCTTGAATTTTATGGCTTTACTCTCATCTTTAATTATATTTTTCGCTGTAAATGCTTTCAGTTTCCAATCTCTCTAAAACCTAAAATCTCTAAATTTGGTGTTGCTCGTGTAGTTCTTAAAGGGATCTCTGATGGATTATCCCGAGGAAAGAAGCCCGATGAAATGGAGATATTGGTAGAGTGACTGTTCTCGGCTTTGATTGTGTTTTTGTGTTCCTGTGTAGAGCCGTTTTTCTATTTGAATTGCTTGATTTGAATAGGTTAGAGATATGTGGAAGAAAAATATGAGCCACCCACAAGCATCTGAAGTTGTTAACAAAGACATCATTTCCCACTTTGTGCTGCGACTCGTGTATTGTAGAACGTAAGTTTTAATACTTAGTTTTTTTTTTGGGTGCTTACTTGTAAAATTCTTACTTAATTTTTATTTATTTCGTGGTGCATTAGGGAGGAACTGAGAAAATGGTTTCTTTCCATGGAAACTACCCTCTTTCGTTATCGATTTCGGCTTGAAGGTCATGAAGGTCATGAAGTACAGGTATATAATTTGTTCATCAATGTCACAATTAGTTTGTTATTGTGTGATGCTGATTATTTGTGGCTCAACTTTTGGGGTTTGCAGAGGGCACTGATGGCTGAATTTGACCTTCCTTATAAAATAGTTAGCAATGCAGAATTTGAGGTAGTTGCATTCCATTTGCTTAATTGAAAAATAGAAAAAATAGAAAAATATTTCCATTTGGTCTCTCATATCTCCAAATAGAAAAATATATATTTAAGTGAAAGAAAATTTAAAATCTAACTCTTATCAAACACATGAAATTGCTAGCCAATATAGTAAAATCTAAACCTATTTTCCATCTAGGATAGATAGAATGCATGTCAAGCTTAACTTTAAAAGCTAATTTGTTCACTTTTATATTTTCTATTTATTTTTATGCAGAGTGTAAAGGAAAAATTGGGCCAAGTTGCACGGTCTATTGGTCCATATTCATCCAATGGTAATTGCTGCTACTTGATAAATGTACTGCCTGTTTTTTCATCAAAATAACTATTTCTTTACCCTTGCTAAGCTCGATATTGTGGCCTTCACACTTTTTGGGTTATTTGCAGTGCACAACTTGATTTTTTTTTAATTTTTAATTTTTTTTTCTAGCATGTGTTTTGCTTTGATTGTATGTATCCACAAACTTCTTTGTGGATTTATATATAATTAGGAGTATGGTGGAAGATTATTGATGTGCATTGTGGTGGGTTTTGGCAAATGCTTTTTTAGTAACTTTGTCAGTTGTTATATTTCACTTTCCTTTGAAGAAGTCAGTATTCTAACTTTCTTTGTTTTTTTCTCTTAATTGTTTTTCCTTCCTTCTGCAGCTGACACGATATACTTCAAGGTTTGTTTAGATTACTCAAATTTTCCTTTCAACTGCGTTCTTAGCTTACTCAAAACGAATGCATTCTTAGCTTATTGTAAACAAAGGAATGCATACCTTTGATGGTAAAGAAATAGGCCTCCCTGCAACTAAGTGCAAACAAATTAGTAGTGATTCCTTGAACATTTATGGGCCGCACTCAGATGGTTCCAATCCTTGTCATGTTGCTTTATGGGTGGGTGAGAGAAATATATCAAAAGCTCAGCATCATGTAATTAGGGGACATGTAATGTTTGAAATTCTATGGTTGCTTCCAATCAATTGAACTTGAGAAATGGGAAAAGAGAAAATATAGGGAATTCCCCATCTTCTAGATCTCAAGTGAGCAACATCTTATGTTGGCTTGTTAGATTTGGACTATCTACATGTTTTCTCCTCTTTTGTAAATGTAGGTACCCTTTGAAGAAGTTCCGGAATTAGTGGCCAGTCGCAGAGTATTTATACTGAAAGGGCATGCATATGTTGCTATGCATCAGGTGAATATCACTATGTAATCCTTGCTCTTAATCCATATCAAACTATATTTCATCAATCTCATGATGTTTCTATCCTTGTTCTATAGGTGGTTTCCCTTGTTGTCACACAATTTCGCAGCCATCTTTCGAAGGCACTTGTGCTGACAAACAGGTTATGAATAAGTTACTTGGTGTCCAAATAATTTTTATTGTTTGATCATGTAAAATGTGTCAGTATCTGGTAACTCATTGTTTGATCATGTAAAATGTGTCAATATTTGGTAACTCATGAATGGATAAGTGATGCGGTTAAAGAATTTAGTGTCACATGCGTACAGAGAACGTTCCATACTTTCTTTGTTTGTGATCCAAAGCCTCTTCTTGGGCATCTTGTGGATATCATTTCTCATGGAAAGTGAAGACAATTTCGCAGCCATCTTTCGAAGGCACTTGTGCTGACAAAGAGGTTATGAATAAGTTACTTGGTGTCCAAATATTTTTATTGTTTGATCATGTAAAATGTGTCAATATTTGGTAACTCATGAATGGATAAGTGATGCGGTTAAAGAATTTAGTGTCACATGCGTATAGAGAACGTTCCGTACTTTCTTTGTTTGTGATCCAAAGCCCCTTCCTGGGCATCTTGTGGATATCATTTCTCATGGAAAGTGAAGAAAAAGAAGAAGAACATTAAATTCATTGTATGTCCATTAAATTCATTGTGTGCAAGAATGATGAACATGATTTATTGACGGTAATGCATTAAATTCTCTAAGAAATTCTGCATGTCCAAAATTCATAAGTGAAGATAATTTTAATTGCTAGTCATCATCACCAGCATCATTGGTGTATTGAATGTTGTAGTTGTTTCTTACATGTCTTCCATATTACTTGTTTTCCATCGTCAAGTGCAATTTAAGCAATAGAATTGCATCCTTTGGAATTTCATAAAATTGTTGTGGCCTTTGCTTTCAGAAAATGGACTTCCACCATTAGAGAACGAGAGAAGGACCGGTTAACTCCTGTGAGTATTTTATTTATGGACTTTTAAGTTTAAAATGGACTCTCTTTCAAAATACAGTGCCTCACTTTTCTTCTGATATTGCATAGATTGTGGAAGCTTTATCCACAAGTTATCTGGGCCCTGACTATTCCCAGGTACTTTGTACTATAGCTGTTTGGTTCATCTGTTACCCTTGGGTCATAGAGGTTCAAGTGGACACTGATCAATTTGGTATACTGATTTTGCAGGCAAGAGAATTTGCAGAAATATCTTTAAAAGACATAGATCAAGTAGCTAAAAGTTCATTTCCTTTGTGTATGCGCCACCTGTTTGAAAAGGTAAAGGCCTTTTCTATAGAATCAGTCCCATTACTGTTTCTATAGTATGAAAAAGTCTTTTCCTCACGAATTCCTCTTCTTCCTCTATCTGGATGTGAAGTTATTGTGATTCTGCTTTTATTTTCATTCACTTTTGTGGACCTTTCTACTCCTGTGCAGTTAAGAGAGGACCATCATTTGAAGCATGGAGGGAGGATGCAATTGGGTCTATTTCTCAAGGTTACATCTTTGAACTTGAATAGGCATGTTTGGTTGTGTGGCCATCGGCATTTCAAGGAATATCATATATTGATGGGTTTGTGGGATTGTAGATGCATGAAGTGCATCACCCACTATGTGAAGTGTGAAGCCTCTATTTCAGTATATTATCTTTCATTTATTGGACAGTGTTTCACACATTGACACGTTGCAACTCATTTGATCTGTTTCAGGTTGCACATTTAAACATTGATTGCCACATATGTGTCCTTGTTTCGTTTACAAACATATGAACATTTTTACATAGATACACTTGTGCTTGGTTCAGAATTATGCATGATTATTTCTCAAAATTTCAAATTAGTGCAAGCAATTTTCTGTTCTTTGAATAGCACGTGTGCATTGGATATCTGAAAGAAATCATGAAGCATTCAAAAATGTTGATTATGGAAAAATTTAAATATTTGGCATTCATGTAATTTCGAAATTATTTTCCTTCATGCATTTTTGCCTTTTGGTATTGTATTTTGAATGATCTTTCCCTCTTTTATCTAGAGTGTTGGATTGACGTTGGATGATGCCCTTGCCTTTTGGAAAGCTGAGTTTTCTCCCAAGGTAAGCCTGGTACTATTGAATTATTTGTTAACTAATTACAATTTTGGACGCTTCTGTTGTTTTTAATAGAACATAGATGTATAGCCTTGCATTGTCAACATATGGTAAGTAGCAATAACAAACTTAGCTATATGAGTTACTGAGTAAATGCTTTGTGCATCTTCATTTGGATAAATTAACAGCATGTTTTTGTGCAATGTGCTATCACTGCAGTGCAGTGCTCCACTGATTGAATTGTTTAAATGGATAAATCATTTTCAGCTAGTTCAGTCCAGTGACATTTTTTTCTCTGTAAATCATTTTGCTGCCAAGACAATTTTTTATGACACTGAATTCCTTTGGTGTGTGTGTGTGAGAACTCACATGCACATTTAAACAAAATTGTTGGTGTATTATCTGTATTAAGGCCTCGTTTGGGAACAGGCTAATTTAGTAACTTTTTGACTATTTGGCTAAAATATGAGTTAAAAAAAACTAGTATGTTTGGGATGACTTTTTGGCTTTTTACGAAAAGATGTGCAAAAAGTAGAGAGAAAAGAGAATCTTTGACTTTTTGGTATGGGTTGTTGGCTTTTTAGATAATTTAGTAGCTTTTTGAATTTTTGGCTAAAAGGGAGGGTTCCCAAACGAGGCCTAAGTAGTTGTAGATCTGCCATGTTTCTTACATACACATGCTTTTTATTTTTTTTTTGTAGGTTGGTGCTGAGAGATTTGATAAAGAATATGCATATGGCATACGGCACAACTACGGAAAAGAAGGAAAGAGAATGGTAAGGAGTCTCCTTAGCATGATTGCCAATTATCTTATCATTATAAGTGAACAAATCATAAAACCTATTTGGCATTTTTTTAAATATTCAAGTTTTTTTTTTTTTGTTTTTTTCTGTTGGCATTTGTTAGTGTAGAACTGCAATAATTTTTCATTTCAAGTTTAATCAATCAATTTTTATATATCTATATGCATATTAACTATTTTCTTTCATTCTCGTGATGCACTGGTGTTCGCTAGTAGTTCTAATATTCAAGTGCTTTGTGCAGTTTTGTGACCCTTTTGAAACATTTTGTTTATGTTAAGCCTTGACTTTTTCTCTATAGCAGCAATCATAACTACTTGCATGCTTCATTTTTAAGGAATCTTGGTAAAGTAATATGATAAGTTCTACAATACAAGATCCTATGGCCTAACTATATTTCTAACATTGATTGTGGTAGAAATATTTTTACTAATTTGTATTTTTTTCCCCCCATTTGATGTTATTATTAGGAGTGTCGAATCCTAACAAGAAGCTTTAGCTTCCTCTGTTTGTACGGGTGGTCCTCTGCTTGCTACATTAAATTTCTTTTCCTGGTGAGTGCAGGATTATACACCTTATTCTTGTCAAAAGATCATCTCATCAACTCCGGGTATTGGAGATCATCATGGATGCCCTTTTCGTCATTTCAGGTCAACTACTGATCTATTTAAGTGCAATGAAAGCTTGCATTCAAGTAGGAAAAATGGGATTCTCTTTCACTGGTTCACATTCAGTCATGTGGTTTATACTAAGCTATAAGCAAAATTGTTACCCTTGCACAAAAATATGTGAATGGCAGCTTATAGCTACATAACTTTGGACTCTTTTTGCATTATTGAATTTAGATATAGGTGTCAGGGTTCAGTGGTGATAGTGATCTGAAATGTTGATTTATGTACAACCAACACTAAACTTGAGTGTTAGTAAGATGCGGGGTGGATATACGCACTAAATTTACCATATGCTCACCATGCATTTGAAAGCTATTGACGTCATAGTTGGCAATCAGTGTCATAAAGAATGTTTTTGCCGAGTCACGTGTTTGTCATTTTCACATGACAGTGAGGAGAATTTGAGGGCTGCCCTTGGAAAAATTGGAGTGGCCAATCATGCCATGGACGATGTGATTGATAAAGTTCGGAATAGGCATTATCAGGTGAGAAAATAGTATTTTGAGTTAAGAGTCCCCAGAATTGTTCCGGGTGCTTTAATTTTTCTTTGATTTTCTTAAGGGTGGTTATGTTTCTGAATAACATATGAGCAGTTGGCTTGCACCTTGACATTTGAAGCTGTTCATGGCTCATCTTGTGATGCTGGGATTAATCACCCTAATCAATACTTCATTGATAGCCAAAAGATTCTGCAAAAGGTAAATCATGTTAATGAAATTCTGTGATCTTAAAAGCGATTTCTCTGATTACAATCTTGTAAGTATGGTCTCAAAGTGTAAGCACTAACTCGAAATTGGGATCTATTCATTGCCTTGGTAAATCAATCTGCAGTAAAAGCAACATTAATATATCAAATAAATATGGGACACATGCGGGTCTTATTGTTCTTTGGGTCCAGGGTTTGTGCTTGGATGGGCCACCCTAAGTTTATTTAAAGTAAATATAAGTCCAAGTGCAAGCCCAGATTCGGCATGAGCGGATTCTTGTTTTGGGGTTGAATGATCGGTGTTTGGAAAGTTTGTTTAATTTTGTGAGCCTAGAAGTGCTGTTGTGGGCAAGCTTGCTTTAATACTTCCTTTGAGTAGTTTTTAGTGTATGGTTTAATATGTGGTTCTTGTACTCTGCAGAACAATTCAACGGTGTAATGTGCAAAGAGTGGTTATCTTTGGCATCACAAGGACTGGTAATACTGTTGCCCTCCATGAGGGCAAGTCTTTTTCCCTCAAGCCCCTCAAAACATGCACTCTCTCTCTCTCTCTAAATGTTTATTTTATATTACTTTGGTGAACCTAGACCTCTAGTCAAACCTTTAATTTAACCTAGTGCAACTAACAATAAGAGTGCTAATTAGTAATTAAGCAAGGAGTTGAGCGCAACCAAAATATAAGAATTAAGTTATGATGTAGGCCTCTTTCACTTCACTTCTCTTGATGGAGTATCACAATAAAACGTACTTCATTACTTAATAAATTTGTGCTTTAAAAGGAATTTAGTAATAATCAGCAAACCAAATAATTAGTCGAAGGTTTTGATATATTCTTGCTTATGTAACTTGCTCGGTTTTTACTTGTTTTCAGGTGAGCATCTCAAGCAAGTTTTTGTTTTCTACTCTTGATGTATAAAGATATTTTTAGTTTTGTGTAGCAGTAAGAGGATAGGAAATGTTGTTTGTAATGATGTTGAGAGTGCCTGATTTATTGTTTTAAAAGTTGATAACTTAATTACAGAAGATATTTTTTTCATTGAAGATGTTACAACTTATGATCCACTTGTTTGTAAAATAAATGCCGAGCTGAATATCAAGTTTATAATGTTAGTGTTGGTATGGAGATTAATTTTACTTTCTCATATCTTGTTATATAAAAAATAAAAATGAATAAAATTACTGACTGCATTCATTTTCCATTTTTCAAATTGAGTTAAAAAAAGAGTTCTTATTAGCCAGAAAATTTATGGGTTACAGTTTTGTTTCATGTAGCTTTGCTGTATCAGGTCATAAAATATATCAGATGTGGTTTCATATGGGCAAAGATGTAATGATACAATAAATAAAAAAAAAAAAAAAATCAAACACAGAAAATAAATAATATGTAAGTGGGCAATGTGTCTATGTCACAGGAGAGGAAGATCAAATTCACTATATGAATGGATAATTTCATCACCGGAGGTGGTGGCCAAGTGGATTATGCACTTGCCTCTCACACCAGGGCTTGATTCTTGGGGTGCAGAATAACTTTGGATTATTGCCCTGTATTTCAATCGTGACTCGGCCTCCTGTTGTGGCAAGATGGGTGAGGTTCATTGTTTGCTTCGGTGATAGGTCTCATCTTACAGATTGGGTTATATTTGATCGTTAATTGATTATCCCAGAGTAAGGACTCATGGATGTTGTAATGTCTCTATTGAATGTCCCTTTTTCAGTTCAAAAATTAAAAAATGAAAAAATTTCTGGTTAATTTTTTTAAAAAATTGCTCAATCTGAGTAAAAGCAAATATATTTTAATATTGCCCAGCAGCCAGGTACAAGCCCAACCCTAGTCTATAAGAACTCCCGTGATTGTTTTCACAATATTTGGGAACCTTTGTCAATGCTCAAGTTTATGCAACAGGTTTTGAAAGGCAAATGAGTGGGAGTTCTAATTAGAGTTACTACTAATGATGTGGTAGTGGATCCCATCTATTGCCACAATATGTGTTGTGTCTGTTTTTGTTTTGTTTTGTTTTGTTTTGTTTTACTTTTTCACCTCATTAGTGGTGGATTTAGAGTCACCAAATTAGTGGTCTCTAGCATTGTTGGGCTTTGAAAATGACACAATTAAGTGTCCTATTGGCTCACATCTAGAGTAATCTACTTGGGCCCCTATCTTTTTAGGCTCATATGGAACCAATTTTTTTTATTTTAGAAAAAGTAGGAGTTTTTATTTTATTTTATTATTTTTTAAAGAATAAAATGTTGGAGCTTTAGGCCTCTACTATCCTCCACATCACACAAAAAGGGTGACTTCTGTTAAAATGTGAACTGAGATGGGTTAACATATATGTAGCCTTACTTTTATTTTTAAAGAGGAAGCAGTAGTTCCCATGACTCGAATGACCAAAAAACAAGCTCTCTCCCAACCTTACTTTAATTAGGACGGTAAAATGAATCAAATTATTTGAGTTCGATTTGTATTTTACTCATTAAAGTTCATATAGAACAATGCAAGTTTGGATAAATTTTAAAATTCATTAGATTTTCAAGTTGAACTTGGACATTTATTATTTAAATCAATAAATTTACATGTATTATAAAAAATCAAGTTACTTGACCATTAAAAACTTATTTAATATTAATTTGTTATGTAAATAAGTTAAAATTGAACATATTTTAAAATTTATTAATTTTTTAAATTAAACTTAAAACAATATAATACTCAAATCAACTCTACATTAAAACTCAAAAAATTATTAGATACTCTTAAAATATAATTACCCATATAACTGTTACCCATTGAGTTGTTGACCATGATTTGCTAGTGATTCATTTGTAACTTAACAGCCTTGAACTCTTTGAGAACACTAGTAATAAAGTAAAACCTACTAGCGGATAAATAAATATAAAAAAAAAAAAACACAAAAAAACAACATAGTGTAAAACCTACTAATTTCAATCAAAGTGGGGCCCACTATTTTTTTCTGATCACATATTTATTTTAGGAAAATTGTTTAAGAGCTCTAAAATAATGAGCTCTAATAGCTCTAAAAATACTGTAGTCTCAATTGATGTGATGTTTTACTCTTTGTTTTTTTTTTTTTTTTTAAATTTCAACACTGCCAACTCATTAGAGCTAGCTTAGTGATCCCTTTTTAGTGGTATGTAGCACCACTGTTATTTTAGTTCTGCAAACTTTTGGTGGCATGTGACTGTCTTATGTAATGAAAGACACTGAACTATAGATACTAACTTCACTTCACAAGTTGCCAAACTTGTTAGATGTAACATGTCATCTGCCTTCAATTCAAGCCTCTTCCAAACCAGCTCATGAGCCACAAGATTGACAAAGACATATCAAATAACATTCCTCATGTTTTTACTAAATTGTGTTTTAGTCCATGGACCCTAATGTTTAACCTTAACGATCTAATAATCTCGTAATGCCACATAAAATTATTGCCGATTTGTGATCAAACAACTATGTAATCAGGATTATAGGTTGTGGATTCCATATCAAGAAGCTAAAATAAAAACAACTATTTTCTTATCTTTAAATACATATTGACTGATAGTATAGAATGCAGGAAGGAATCACATAGTAAATTATTTAAAATTTACAATTTTAACCACCTCACTGTACTCCCCTCAACTATTATTGAACACCATTTCCTTCTGGTAGCTTTAAAATTGTACATTTATACCTTTTAATTATAAAAATTGCTTCACTTTCATCTTTAAATAAGAGTATTTTAAGCATTTTTTTTTGTGTGTGTGGATAACTATGGTGTAGATGTAAGATTTTAAAATTGAGAGGCATTTAATAACAGTTGATGGAGAATAAAATGTAATTAACCCAAACGAAAAACGTAGCACAAAATGCAAATAACAGTTGATGGAGAATAAAATGTAATTAACCCAAACGAAAAACGTAGCACAAAATGCAAGGTCACATGGTTCACTCAAGACTAAAAAAAATATAAATTGGAAACATAAATATATGAATAAATAAGATCCTTTGAAGGAGGTTTATTAAGATTTTTTTTTTTTTTTTTTCAAGTATTTTAAAATTGAGAGGCATTTAATAACAGTTGATGGAGAATAAAATGTAATTAACCCAAACGAAAAACGTAGCACAAAATGCAATTCACATGGTTCACTCAAGACTAAAAAAAACATAAATTGGAAACATAAATATATGAATAAATAAGATCCTTTGAAGGAGGTTTATTAAGATTTTTTTTTTTTTTTTTTCAAGTACTTGTATACTTAGGCCATGTTTGTTTGGGCGGACTGGATTAGCATTCCCAAGACTCATAGTCCTAGGACTACGAATCCGTTAGATTATGTATCCTATCTTAACTAATAGTCAAGTTTAAAATAATTAATCCGTACTTCAATTGTTTAACCAAACATCAGATTAATAATTTTATTGGACTATTAATCCAATCCCAAGCTCATGTCCACCCAAACAAACATGACCTTAGTCCATAATATATTTTTGCATTATAATGTCATATTATTTGGATATTTGATCTACCAAATTTTAATTTTTATATTTAAGGTATTTTATAAACAATTTTATCGTTATAAATATTTTTTTGAATGTTTAGTAACTTGGTGATGTGAATATTCATATTTTACCGTGTGAATATTCACATTAATAGTGTGAATATTCATATCACGGAACATTCACTATCAATGTGAGTATTATTATTAAGTGTATTTTGATAACTATGTCACTCTACGATTAATTAAAATATTAAAACATAACTTATACTAAGTAGAATATAAGTAGATAAAGATAAATTTATGAATAAATATCCATTTTTTAAAACTAAACCCACTAACAAACCGTTAAAAACTTGTTCATTCATATTTATTTTGTATTAAATTTTATAATATTTGTTTGCGTTGATAGCAAACTGTTCACTCAATTATGGTGATGTGGTTGCTGAAGGCACCATTTGGCCTACTGTTTCAAATTTTCTACCTGTGGCAGTCAAAAGATTATCAAAAGAAAGCATTTTTGGTTAAGGATTTGTGTATAAAAAATTTATGAGTCGTATTTATATTTATTTATTAAAAATTAAAATATATAATTTATAAATATAAAAATATTATTATTATATTATTTTTATTTTAAATTTTATACAAAAATTATTTATAAATATCATTTTATTTGATAAAAACAAAGCAAAACCAAACCAAACCAAACCAAGTTGCTTTCCTTACCAAAATAGTCTCTACCAAGTTGCTTTCGTTACTAAATTACTTTGCTGTTGTGCTGAGTATTAACTGTTACCAAGAAAGGGACCGTTACATTATTGTAAGGAAAATGTTAATAACTTTTAATCGGGGCGGAGCTAACAAGGATATAGGGTCACGTGCCTCCTGATTTTGAATTTTTTTTACAAATATAAAGAAAATATTTTCAATAAAAAAATTTATAAAATATTAATTTAAATGTCAATGACATTCTTAAAATAATGAGAATAATAATGGTTGTTTTGGTTGAAAATAAAGTGACTACGATATTATTATTTATGAAAATTTCAATATAATGGTGATTTTTATCACTACTGACATGCAAACTTAATTAATTTCAATAAAAATATAGAATTTATTGAATTGTTAGTTATATTCGACATGTAGCGTTCATCCTCTATGTGTTTTTTTACTATTAGTTGAAGATATCACATGTTAATGATGACATGATATGACTATTATATTGAATTTTTATGCATATTTTGTATAAAAAATTACTTTATTTTTACATAATTTATTTTAAAACTTTATATCCATGACTTTTTTAATATTGTCCATGATATACTAATTACAAATAACATTCAGCTTGTTTGGTTCTAGTTTTCAAAAAATAGTTTAAAAAAAATTTTACATTTTTATTTTTCGTATGTTAATGTTTTCAATATATTTTTAAAAATATTTTAAGCAATTTTTTAATTTTTAATTTTTAGACATACCTAATATAAATATACCTAAAAAGTATAATATTTGTGAAAAAAATCTATAAAAAATACACTAAATACCAAAAAATATAAAAATAATATGAAAATTCAGTATGTTTTTTGTAATTTTGAGTATTTATTTTTATTAATTCTTTAAAATATTTTTTCACAAATA